CATGGGCTATAGTCCATGCTTTTTGGCCAAAAACACCCATTTTTCAAAAGAAATAAAAAAATTATATTTTCCCTAAAGGGTGTGAAAAACACCCAAAATCGATCAACACTATGGCCTATGACCCAAAATGACGAATTTTGGACATTTTCTGAATATTTCATGATCGTGGAAAAGTTTGAAAAAAAGAAAAATACATCAAAATCATGTGCTGTAGTTTTTGTATACTGTTCGTAAATGATACATTTTTAAAAGCAAGATTTTAGTATGAATTATTCACCATTAATAAATAGAAATAAGTTCTATTCTTTGTGAATTAAAAGTTATCTTTTTTTTCAGCTGTCGAGGGACAAAAACTTGATCATAACCTTCATCAAGTGAAGATCAGAAAAGAAAAACTTCAAGATTACGATCGTATTATTGGTCCAGTGGAATATCGTGAAAGACGAGTTCTTTCGGTTACGTTTTCTCTGTCTATTACAAGGCTTGTTTATGCGGTACGTGAAAGAGATTGAGTTTATCTTCAACTGAAGTTTGTTTGTTTAATTTGCTTATTTACTGGTCTTCTTGCCCCAAGAAATGTTCTTTACCTTGGGCGTAATGTTTTCCTATATACAACCACATGTCGAGTCGCTTGAGAATAATATTTTTGGATTAATTTGAGTTCGGTATCAATATTAATGAGTTTTCTCATGCACAACTGTTAAATAAAGAAATAATACTGTAGAAAATGACACATGGTTTGAATTGGGAAATATTACATTCAACAGTTTAAATATTTTTTGGGGCGGATAAAATTGCTAAATATCTATTGATTATTGGCAAATATTCTCCAAAATTAGTGAGTCTGGGGCGAATAATTGTCGCGAGTATAATTTTAGACTTGACTTTTGCAAACTTGCAGGATACCAAAAAGCAAACCTTGACTCTGGAAGCTTGGGAAGTTAAGGTAAATCTGTAATCGTCATGTTGTTTGTTTTTTTTCATACTGATGTACATATTTCAAAATAAGGTATTTGGAACCCAATTAAGGCGATATGCAATAAGTGCATGATAGGTGAAAGACGATAGGAGATGGGTCCTTCCAAGATCCGAGAATAGCTGGATGACTTGTGTTTCTGCTTCGTATTCTCGTAAAAAATATAGAGCTTAGTGTTGAGATATCGATATTTATATGTTGTTAGAAAAACAGCTATAGTTTTTGTACTGTTCTGTTGCACTCAACTCAAAGCCATCAATTTTCACATGCACTTTAAAAAATCCGTTACATTTKAGATATTGTCGCACGTTATAGTCTCCATACCAGTGTTTTGCCATTCCAGACGACGTGTCACCCCTTGGGTATGTTTGTCATTTGGGAAAGAAGTAACATTCAAGGGAATGACAATATAAATATAAGATATGAATTCAGTCTATTGAAGGACAAATCCATGCGATCAATGTGTGTCATCAAGCATCAGTGAAACAGATTTGTTATTTGGGAAAGAAATAACATTCAAGGGAATGACAATATAAATATAAGATATGAATTCAGTCTATTGAAGGACAAATCCATGCGATCAATGTGTGCCATCAAGCATCAGTGAAGAGAGAAAAGATGTAATATTCGAATGATACATCATAGGAGTACAATGAGATTACAATGCCAATCAATAGCCCCTTTGCAGCTAAGCAATCACGTGCTGATTAATTCACTGAGAGCAAATGAATGAACATCTTGATTCCCAAGGGTGAAATATACTGGAGAGCAAACACGCTTTCTACAACCTGTTTTGAAAGATCGTAATAAAACTGCATTTTGTAACACACTGGTTACACATCTTTTCATTCAGTTCTTTACAAGTAGCTAAAAAGAATCACCAATGTTATATAAAAACAAAAATTTTGCAGTCCAGTACAGGCACGTGACCGTTAACTTCAAAGGGTCTATTGTTCTTTCAAGTACTATTAAAGAATGCAATATTTTATTTGCTTTTATCTCTAGGCTTGGAACGATGAATACCTCAAGTGGAAACCTAAAAACTTTGGAGGAGTTGGAAGGACTATCTTTGCCCCCGACGAAATCTGGGTACCCGATATTATGCTCTACAACAGGTGGGATTTTAAAAAATGATATATATTTTACATTTATTGGGCATGTCGATCCGGCTCAGAAGAGACTATTTTTGAGTTCGGATATTACCGCCTGTTCCTTGATTACAGCTCATTCCCTCAAGGCTAACCGTTATTCAACATGATATTCAAAAATACCGACGGTAAAGTAGAGAATGCACAACGTCAACGATACAAACACAATTGAAATTCCCCGGACCTTCACTGGAACACATGAATATTCTGCGCAAAATCGAGTCGAACTCTGAAGAACAGACTCGAATCTTGAGTATCGGAAACCGTGAAGAGTCAGTGATTAATAAATCCGCTTGCTTGACACAAACCGGGTTTTATGAGGATATAGGTTGTTTTTTAAGTCCCTAAAAACCATAGCCTAGCATATAGCGAATATTCAAGATCTCCTATAGATTATTTTATGCAAAGATGAGAGTATGTGGACCGCGTGGCACTAATGAAATAGTAGAAGATAATATAGGTAAGTTGTAGTGCTTGGGAACGAGGTTATTCCGGGCGAAAGCCCTTGGAATTAAATTCGGAAAAATTAATTTCCGACCTCGCTGGCTCCCAGCGAGGTCGGAAATTAATTTTTCCAAATTTAATTCCAAGGGCTTTCGCCCGGAATAACCTCGTTCCCAAGCACTACAACTTACCTATATTATCTTCTACTAGATTATTTTATGATGCGTTATGGCGCGCGTCGCGTGCATGACAGGGAATTTTTAGCTTTCACTGAGCAYTGCCAAACATGTGACTGACATTGCCCTTRATACAGCTATTCCAAAAAAGGTTGGCATCTGAAGGGTAATGTTAAATGGTGCATGTTGCTTACTAAGCTTGAAATGAAACACATGTAAATAATGTCAGCACAGAAGAAAATATGCCGGAAAAACGTGCAGACAAAGTTTGGCAAAATTCCATATTGCTGTGCCCTGATTGCATTCATATCTACTTTTTTTCTCCGTTAGCGCTAACAGCCCTGACAGCCTAAATAACTTACCAACCAAACACGTGACCAACGTTTACGTGAAAAATAGCGGTGACTGCCTTTGGTTTACTCCTAAAACGTACACCAGTAACTGTATGATGAATGTTAAGTACTGGCCAATAGATGAGCAGGTGTGTACACTGACCTTTGGATCGTGGACGTACTTCGATCACGAGATGAAGATCGAGCCGCTTACGTTAACTGAAAACGACACTGAYACAGGTGAGGTGGCGTTTACATGTGACCCAAGCTGAAGCAAACTCTTGGCTGATCTATAATTGACAGATAGAACTCTGAAAAAACTCTGGGCTGATTAATGTCAGGGCACAGCTAATTCACAAATCGAACCCTGAAACAACCTCTGGCGAGTTCACTAACACTACTATCACTACCATTGAACTTCACGCTACTGATGTACTAGAGAAGTTTTCGCATGACTGTGAAAAGCTCACGGCACGAACACGTTCTTGGCACGGCTGGGGATACGCCAGACCAATCACATTGCTCGAGAATTCACTCTCCATCCAATCAAATACCCAGATACCCACGGCATAAACACGGCGCGGACACGGTCACGCCAAAGTCACGGCACTTTCAGACCAATCACATTRCGCGAGAAAAAAATCAGCCAATTAAAATTCTAGAAAGTATCACGGTCACGGCACGGCACTGAGCTTTTCACAGCCATACGAAAACTGCACTATGCCGCGAACGTGGTAGTACTCTTCCGGGCATTCTGATTGGGCAAAAAATAATGACGCACCTAAAATACTTTTTACATGGATTTGATTTCGCCTGAACTACTTTTCCTTTTCCATTTTTAGTTCTGCCTTCAAACGGAGAGTGGGAGATTAAATCCATTAAATACGTCACTGGAAAAACCGACCATAGCAACTGTTGCGATGGTAACTACAGCACTATCAGCTACCACATCACCATCGCTCGTAAACCAGCTCATCTCCTCTTCTACTTGACGCCTCCATCGGTCATCCTTGGTATTCTGACCCTCATGAGTTTCTTCATCCCCACCGAGAGTGGAGAACGAATCGGT